GGCGGCGGCACCCGGGCCGGCACCGCTGCAGCCCACTCCGGGCCGCGGCACCAGGAGCTGCTCCGAGGGGTCGGACGGTGAGGACGGCACAGGAGCCGCGGCTGGGGACTCGGAGGACGCCTGCGGGGGTCCCGGCGACCCCCTTTCGGTCGGCGATCGCACCCACGAGGAGCAGGACGGCCTGGCGGCCGGGCGAGCGCCCCAGAACGAGCTCCCGGGTGCTGCAGACGGGAGGCTGAGGGCGGGAGACTCGGGAGACTCTCCATGCGACACCGGTGCCTCCAGAGCCGAGGCGGCCTTGCCCTCCAGAGACTGCAACGGCAGCAGAGAGAGACCGGGGACCAGGATGCCTCAGTCGATGTCGAGGTACTGAAAGGGTCCTTGTTTCTGCCGACGCTGCAGAGTGTTTGCCGGCGGCCACAGCCGTGTGTGGCGATCGAGGCACAGGTCAGGTATCCCAGGGTTTGACATCAGCCTGCAGCTTGCTTAAAGCTCTTATCTTGTGCGTTTCAAATTAAGCTCCTTAAGACTGGGAGGCTTGAAGTGAGCTACGTTTGTTTTTGACTTGACCTATTAAGTGCCCTTTAAATTTACAGACGCCAGTTGTATAGTTAGTAAACTTTCGGGAATAACTGAAAGGTGGGATAACCTGATTAGAAATTGCCACTGTGCCATGTGCAGAAATATTTTGGATAGTTTTATTGCAAATGCACTGATCACTTCTAAACACCTATTCCTGGTGAGAACAGAAAGTGACTGGGGCTGTACGTAGCTATAGATCTTTATGAAACGCCGCTTGGATTCAGAGCGCTGCAAGGGATTCACTTTTGTGTGCGTCTTCTTAAGCGTTTTCTGGGAAAATGGCCTTTTTCATAATGAATTAAAACTTTTCGAAACCTTCGCTGAACTGCGCCGTGGCATCTTGCATCCTCTGGTGTCTTCTGCTTTTTCATCCATCCGAGCCTTTCGTGACTTCATTGAACCCGGAACCATGCTGCGTCATCGGCTCGGTTACCCTCGCGAGGATTCCCTGTTCTTTACGTGTTGCGGATGTCAACTAACGCACGACGCGTTATGCTGTGCTTGCTCCATCTATGGAAATAGTTTAGATAGCCTGGTGAAGAGCACTTCAGTCCAGTTTGTTTAATATAAGGGCACAGCTGCAAAGAAACCTCCTGAAGGCCCTTTGACCCAGAGTCATTACGTGGTTCTTCACCTTCTGTGGCCCTGAGAACGATGTCTTTATTCATTTCAGATTTAATCCGTCTCGTACTGGCAATCTGCAGACAGTTTTCATTCCATTCTGGGGACGAAAATCCCATTTTCCGCAGTGAAGAAAGGATACTATTGGTCGCTAGTATGTGATCAGTTTGTTGATCATGTCCTGCTGGGTGTGAGCTTTGAAAACATGGCAGGGTAGCTTGTTCCCAACTCCTACAGCCGTGCAGGGTAGCGCTCAGTGGAGAGTGTACATCTGCTGTATTCGTTAAAGGCTCAGAATCAGGTCCTCTCTGTTCATACCCTGCGGTGATGTCAAAGCCTGTCCTGGGCACTTCAGACGCAAACATGTTTTGGCTGAGCGGCGAGGGGCTGATGAGCACCGACAGGGCCTGTCTGGACAGTAATGTGCGGAGTCTGTGTCCTGGCACATCCTGCAGCCCAAGACCACTCAGGGCTCCGCAGAAATCGGATGGGTTTGGACCTCAGGCGCAGAGATCGGATAACTAAAGGGTTCAGAACGAGGACTAAAATGGTCTTCTACAGGTTGTGCCTGCAGCCAGTCCCTTGATACGTACCAATCGCTGTCAAACAATTTACCCGTCGTGAAGTGTTCAGCATCGTTCACAATGCCGAGGACGTAATTCTGAAGAGGGTTTTGTCTAAATAAAGGCCTGTCTCATAGTCCAGCTGGAATGTAGATGGAGGAAATGTGCCGTGTCTTATGTTTGTGACTATGTGCTGGTCCCTTCACTGCAGAGAAGCACCTCTGTACTAAACTCTTGCACACTGTATTGGTATAGGAAAATGACTGAATCAGGAAGATTCAGAAGTTTCAGTTTATATGTTAGTGCCTTCAGGATTTTTTTTAGCCTTTTCTCACGTTATTTGTACAGTCATCTCCTTCACACTTTCCCACGCCTTGGCTCTGACGCCCCTCTCGAGCTGCCCAGCGCAGAGCCGGGCAGATGGGTGGCAGACGGACAGCCGAAGGAGGTCCTCCAGCCTCACCGGTCAGCCGCAGGCCTGTGTCCGGCGCCAGGAAGGCCCCACCGTGTGTGGACAAGTGGCTGTGCTGCTGTGTCCGTCCTCAGTCCGGCCCCGTCTGCTGCTGTCGGTCAGCGTCGCTGGCGTCAGAGATTTTTAGAATGATGAGCTTTTTCGTAACTGACAGTGCTTCTTTAGCAGTTTGTGTTCATTAAGTGTGTAGTCTCCACTCCTCTGTCCTTTGGTTGCCGTTTTGCTGTGTTCATTCTGGAGAAGCCCACTGGGTTGACGTTGTCGATGTCTTCAAAGATCTTGAACACAGTTGGGTCTCGGCATTAGCATTCAGTGGCGCAGTGCAGGGAACTTAATTTGAACTTCATTTCCTTCGGCCTGTCAGTGGACATTTCTGGACCAGGTACGTGTCTGGTCACCTACTGCACAATAAAAACTCAGAGTGTTTGGCTTTAAAACTGTTTGCCTCCTAACGACCTGGAGATGTAAGAGGCATGCACTTGAACTTGGCCTGCGTCAAGATAAGAGCGCTGATCATGTTAAAAGCCATGCAATAGATATAAACTGTAAAATTTAGAAAAGAACACTGCAGGTACTCCTCAACATCCTCCTCAAAAGTCCGACTTTTCATGAGCGCTTGCGTGCGGCCTCAGTCCTGTCTGGAACGATGTCCACCTCGTGTGCAATGTTGCTCCTCTTGTCAGAGCTGAAAATCAGCCAGCGCTGGGCATTAAGATACAGTGTGTGAAGTCGTGTTCTGCAAAGCCCTTTGCCCGAATTCATCTTTGTTATTAGACTAGCGTGGTGGGTGTCCCTTGAGTGGGGGGGTCAAGGCAGGCTTGTGGGGTTTTACTGCCCTGAATTAACAGGAGCCCCCTGTCACAAAGAGGGGCTCAGAGAGGTCTCGCTCACCAGCGCCCCCTGGGATAAAAGACAGGCGAGGCTGAAGGACAGTACTGTGTAGTGCACAGTGATAACAACATTGTATAAGTGCAGGAACGGCAGTTTTATGTGTGAAGGTATTGTATCTGAGTGGGTTCTGCCTTACATTAAGTTCTCTTGGCTGTCACGGGGAGCACCCTACTGTATTTTTCTCAGCGCATTAACTAAGACCTGATTCCGACATCAGTGTTTTTTACAAGGCCGGACAGCAGAACCAGCAGTGTGTCAGTCCGGGCAGTCACTGTGTTTAATGAGCCAGGCTTCCACAAGGCTGACGCTGTTTAACCACTGGTGTCTCCCCGCGGGACAGCTGGGTCAGGGTCAGGGTTAGGGTGAGGCGACATTTGACAACAAATTTATGGACCCAAAGGACGTTTTAAACCTTTATGACGGATTAGAAAAGACCGCTTTCAGCATTGCGCTGCAATAGAGGAGGTGTTTGTCGTTGTGTTTTGAAGCGGGAGGCTCATGAAAGAGAGATCGCAGTCCAGCTTCTCGGTGTCCTACAAGACCCTGAAGAAAAGCCCGTCCCTGCGGTCGCTGGACAACATCTCCATCGACAGCAGCCTGCTGGAGGAGAACATGCTGGAGAGCGACAGCAGCGACGGCTTTCTGCTCGCGGAGAGAGGTAAGGCCCCCGCGGCCCGGGGTTCGAGGGGCGGGGGGCTCTCAGTGTCGCGCTCGGAGACACTCCAGTATTGGTCTTGAGAAGATGAGGTTTCCGTATCTTCTCGGCAGAAAAGAGGAGGCCAAACGGCTGCCTGGTGGGTTTGTTTGTTGACATTTGCATGTTGCTGCTCAGTGTGAAAATAGAGGTGACTGTGGGCTAATTGGGCTAATTGGCTGATTGTGACTGACGTGGGGGTCTGCTTTACCTTAACATGCATGTAGACTCTTTCCCGCAGGTTCCACTAGGTGGCAGTAGATCCATTAAAACTCTTCCACAGCAGAACTGTGGAGATTCAGGAAATGCTGTCGACTTCTCTGGTCCTCTGCTGATGTGCTGTGTAGCCGATTCTTCATAGAGCACGCCAGCAAGCGTAATATTTTAGTACAACGTTTGATTTTTCCAGTAAGGACAATGAAAAAAGCAGCAAATGCAGGTTAATATCTTAGTGTTGTGAAGAAAGTACTTTTTACTTGCCCAGGTACTATAACTAGCAGTGTTTTAGCCCTGCATATTTTCACTGTATTTTTATTAGGAGGAATGTGTTTGTTATAAAGTATAAAAAATAATATGTTTGGGAAAGGAGTCTAGAAAAGAGAAACTGAGAAAATGCTTTGTTTGTGGTGAGCTTGGTTTGCTGATGTGTAGAAGAGACATGCTTTCAGCACGGACGTTGTGTCTCGAGATGTTTAATCAATATAGACGAGGCCTTGATTGCAGCAAGTGGTTTAATTAAAGGAAAACGTCGAACTTCTTGCCACAGATGGGCTTTCTGACGACGCGTCGGTGGCGGGCTTCAGAGACGCCTCAAGCGAGCAGAGCCCCGCGGAGAGCGCGAACGAGGCCCTGGGCCCGGAGCACGAGCGGGGAGAGTCGCCCGACGCCGTCAGTGCCGCCTCCCAGAGCGCAGAGGAGAGCTCCCCGGACCTGGTAACGCGCCCCTCAGCCCTTCCTGCGACTTGACTCGGTCCCGCAGTAAAGAGTGTGTGTCTGCAGCTTCCTGTCTGTCTTTCTAGTACCTGCTGTGTAGATACAAGAGTGGCTCTGTGTTGGGGGTCGGAGAGCTGGAGCCAACAGACAGGTGCCTGAGATTTCAGTTGATGGTTCGGCACAGAGAATTGATTCAGCGGGGCTGGCGCTGGCTGGAAGTAACGCCCCTGTGTTTGGGCACAGGGCAGCAGAGTTTCGCTCTGTATGTTACTTCAATTGCATTTGACTCGGTGAGACTCCTCACTTCACGTATAAGGACACCTATACTGTGAGATGCACCTCAGTAGGTGGTCTATAGGTCAAATGCTGCTCACTTAAAACTGAACTTTATAATCTTGTCTATTCAGTGCTCGTCCAAGATCCCAGCGTTCCCAGTGTAAGGTGCAACCTGTTGTTCCACTTGCCTGTTGGCTCTTCAGCTCAGGGCCTTTTCCGTGTCCTCGTCCCGTTCAAGGTGTCGGTGGTGGTGTTTAAGATATTTGGTGCCAACTGCGGCCTGGACATCAAGGGGGAGAGCCTGGCCGTGTACCTGGAGGTCAGCGAGCTGGTGACCAGTCAGCTGGGGAACGTGAGCATCCGGCAGTACCTCAGCAACCGCAGCCTGGGTAGGAACCGGCCGCGGGAATCGGGGTTTATCTGGATCCTGAGCTTTTCGGGATTCTCTGTGCCTTTAATCCCAAGATCCTACAGGAGCTCCAAAGCTTTTGAAGAGCCCATAGTCTCAGCTGTAAAATGCAATTCCCTACACGTGTACAGATGTCTTCGTTTTGAAACTTAGTTTTGACATGGTGCCTTGAATTGCATCTGTTTTACCATTTAAACTGCTGTCCACCAAATATCGTGTGATAACAGGGTTGTTTAAGACCGGCATATGATGTAGACCTCTCTCTGTCAGGGGGTGTCCACCTTGCGGTCTTTATGGGTCCTAATGCCCCAGTATGGTGACAGGGACACTATACTGTAAAAAGGTGCCGTCCTTCATATGAGATGTAAAACTGAGGTCCTGACTCTCTGTGCGTTTCTTGAAAAAGAGTAAGGGGGCTACTCTGGTGTCCTGGCCAAATTTCCTCCTGACCTTTACCAATTCATGGCCTCCTAATAATCCCCATCTCTGAACTGGCTTCATCACTCTGCTCTCCTCCCCACTGAGAGCTGGTGTGTGGGGAGTGTACTGGTGCACTCTGCTCTCCTCCCCACTGAGAGCTGGTGTGTGGGGAGTGTACTGGCGCACTCTGGCTGCCGGTGCATCATCCAGGTGTTGGCTGCACTCTGGTGGTGGTGGAGGGGATCCCCATTACCTGTTTGAGTGGAGTGTCCAGAAAAGTGATATAGAAATGTAAGGAATTATTGCGATTAAAAGAAGGGCTTATCTGATGTTTATGAACGAAGATGCTCTGGCAATAAGATAGGAGATGGGAATTCTGATCTTCTAAGTCTACTTTATTCTTATTCTTTTTCTATTACTTGTCATAGTCCTTGGTTGTCTTTTTGGAAGCAGCCACGGGTGTCTTTGTATTCCCTCAAGCCTTCGTGTGAAGAAGAGCCTCCTCTGTCTCAGCTGTGAATACGCCATTTCTCTGGGGTCCTTCCAGAGTTCGAAGGTCCATTCAGGAGGTCCATTCACTGGCTTCGCTTTGTCAGTGTCTAAGGGTTTGGGAGACTTGGTTCAGGTCTACTCAGTGTCTTTTCTGTTCAAGACTAAGGCATTTCATTTTCTTGGACCTCTGTGTGTAGGATGTTCCTTTAAGCTTAGGAATGCATCTAGGCTTTCCTATCTGAACTGATCCCAGCGGAATTCCAGTTCTGTTTTTAATGTAATGCAGTGATCACAATTGGGGTCTTGCTAGTGCATTTCTATCTTAACCTTCCTTTTATTGTATGATCGGCATTTGGTTTGATAATCATACCAAGGTCTACATCTTTAATATTAGAACAGTTGCAGTGAGGGCTTGGTAGTTAGCAGCTAATTGAACCAAGGATCTCATCCATGTGTTTCTTGAGAAAAGCCAGGCCTTGGTCTCCAGCTACATGCCTGGGCAGCTTGTTCCATACTCCCACAACCCACAATAAAGTTAGGAGGAGCCTCAGTCTTAAAATAGTTCCCTGAAGTACTGTTAATTATTGACATTAACAAGTGCTTGCATCACCTCAATTTGAGTGTTTATTTGTACCTTTTTCCTGTCCATTAACCTGTTCTTAATCCCCATACTGTACATGTTCTAATTGTAGGTTTTATAACCTTAATTGTAAAAAGAGCAGGACTTATTGGTCTTTTCCATTCAGTTGTCACATGTTTTAATGTAAAGGCTCTTTATTAGCAGTTGTCCGCTCGGTGGATATGACCACTGCCTCGAGAGGCTGCCAGAAGAGTTGAGTTAATGGGCAAGGAAGGGCATTTCTTCATTTCTGACGTGCCATTGGTAGAATGTCAATATTGGAACTGTTGCCTGAGCATTAAATTGCCCCATTAGTGAGAGCTGATTGAACACAGGTGATGAGCTGATCAAATCTGCGGAATGTGGAGCCTTGTGGAAGTCAAGAAGGAAGACCACAGAAAAAACAGTATGTCCCCTTATCATGAGAATACCTGTGTGTCACCGGTGTGTTGGAGGCTGGACTATAGTGCCTTCAGAAAGTATTCAATCCCCCAACACCATACAGTATACAACAGTTTAAGGGGGAAAATATTATTTTATCGTGTAGCAAAAATGTATAAAATATCTTTACTGAAGTATTCACCTCCTGAGTCCTGAGTGCTGTGTAGAATCGCTTTTTGCAGCCGTTAGAGATCTGAATCTTCTTGGGTGTTTCTGCATCAGCTTTGCACATCTGGATTTGGGGATTTTCACACATGCATCTTTGCAGATCGTCATAAGATGATGCTGCCACCATTGTGCCTCATGGTGGGCATGGTGTTGCAGTGATGTTCACTTTGCACCAGAAAACAGAGACATTCAGGCAGAGAAAGTTCAGGTTTTGTGTCATCAGATCACAGAATGTTTTGCCACCAGGTGTGCCATGTGTCTCCTTGCAAACTCCAGGGGTACCCTGAGCTTCCGTCTAGCCACGCTCCCATAGAGGCTGGGTCTGTGCAGCACTGAAGAGGTTGTCATCCTCTGGGCAGGTTCTCTAATCTCAGCCATAGAGCTCCGTAGTTCTGTCAAGGTGCCCACTGGGTTCTCGGTCAGTGCCATCACAGAGGTGTACAGACAGCTCCATAGTCTTCATGGCTTTGCAATCCTCATGCACTGTCAACTGATGGACCTTATGTAGACAGGTGGGAGTGACCACAGCTGGACTTCACTCAGGTTTTAGAAGTGATCTCATGGAAGATGTTGATATAATCTGGTTTAATTTGGATTGTCGTAGCAAAGGGGGTGTTATTTTGGTGCTTCCTTTTAAATTGCATGTTCAAATTTTGACATTACTTTATAGTACTAATAGAATACTAATCAATAATCAATTGTATAATAGTAATTAATAATCAAATCAGTCATACTTGTAAGTCACTTTGACTTTATTGAATTTGTGTAGATCAGTGACAAAAATCCAATGCAAATGTATCCCTCTTCGCGTGGCAACATTAAAAATTGTGGAAAGATCCAAGGAGGTGAATTTCTGAAGGCACTCTAAGACCTTGTGAGCTATTTCTGCACCTTGGCTTGTTGTCTGGGGTGTTTCACAGCCAGGCGTTTCCAGCATGGCGAGATGTCCCAGCCAGATGTAGTGTGTTATTGTCTCTGAGATCAGTGGGCAGGCACGAGTGAGGCTCAAGCTGCTGCAGGGCTGATAGACATCAGAATGATGTGTGTGGCTTGAGGGCTCATTCGAAAGTGCCAGCTGTCCCGCGGGGCAGTGTGTCTCCGCATGCTGGTCCCGTAAGAATGGCGATGTTGCGGGGCGGGGATGTGACCGTTACTGTGTGCTCTGGATAGCCCTCCCTTCCAGACGTGAGCCCCACTGAACAGTGGTGGGATGGGAAGACCCGAGGCTCCCGGGGCTCAGAGACGGGTTCGACAGGAGGAATGGGACAGAACCCCACAGGCGTAGGAAAGGAGTTTATTGCCATCTGTTGGAATTCTTACAAGGTGCGAACTGCAAGCCAGGGCGGGGCTTGTGTCAGAGATGTACAGCTTGTAGCCCTCCCAAGGCTGCAAGCCCACAACCCCTAGTTGATCGAACTCGTTTAGAGCAAGTGTCATGCAGCATAATGAGCTCACCTGCTCCGGGCGAGCTCCATGTTGTTCACCAGCGACAAAAGGTGATGTTTGTGGTTGAATTTTAGGTCTGATTTCATGAGAGCTAATAAAATTCTGATGGTCATGATAGATTGATGGACGTAGTTGTGGAAGACAATTGTTTAAATCGGTCTGGCCTCCCAGACAATTGACTCCTTCAAATATCCAAGTTTGAAGATTAATAGTAGCAGTCAGTAAAGACAGCATTTTTGTTCATTGCCATACATTAATGTTAATACTTTTTAACAGCAGATGCACAAAAGCAGCTTATGGTACTTTTCCACAATAGGAGAAACAAGGTTGATAGATAGCACCTGAGTTGCTCCGTGTGATTCAGTAGCCTTTCTTGCCATCCAGAGTGACCTTCGCTGTGCTGCTGCCCTTCACAAGCCTCCCGTTCGGCAGAAGTTAATTAAAATGCCAATCCCAAGCCATTCCCATTCACCGCTGCGCTTTTCTCCACTTGCGGGCGTCAGAGGCGTGAGGGGGAGATGAGACATTTTGTGTTAAAGAAAAAAAGGGAATTATTTTTATGAATTGAATATGTACATTTTACCTAGTATGAAAATCAAGAGCAGGTTTGTAATGAAAGCCATAAACGGGGAGGCTCCTCATGCTTATTAATATTATTTATTATTATTATCGTATTATTAATAAAGAATAGAAGAGTTAGCATTTTCAGTTGGAATTCCTTTACTAGAAATTGCAACGTACTGAATCTTAAATCCTGTTTTCGGTCTGTTGGGGTTTATTTTACATGTTGTCTAGCGTGCTGCTGATGTAACTGGCAGGTTTGCTATTGCGGGCCTTTTGTGTTGCTGGGCTTGCTTCCCGAGCCCCACTGAAAAGACGTGTGGCTGTGTCTCGCAGGGGCAGGTGCTGCCACAGACCCCCGGCGCAGGAAGTCCACCCCGGAGGTCAGGCTGCGCCTGGACAGCGGGCCGAGCACCGCGGCCTGCTCCCCGCTGGCGGCCCAGAACGGCTTTCTGCAGTGCGAGATCAGTCGGGTCAGCTCCGACTTCCTGCTGTCCTCCATCAGGAACCTGGGCCGGCTCGTCGAGGACAGCTCCGCCTCCCAGGTGCTTCCTATGAAGGTCACCATTTCTGACACCCGGATTAACCTGAAGGTGAGTGAAGCACACAGTTGCCCCTTTGTTGCAGCTTTTTAACGCAGTAAATGTTCACTTCATACAAATGTCCGACGTGTGCTGCAGCACTGCTACAGTTAAATAGCTTTTGAGCAGTCAAATGAGAATTTTAATTTGGGGAAAAAAAAAAGTTGTTATAGCCAGTCTCCCTCTTTATTTAAGATACAGGAACAATTTTGATTATTTTCAATTACATCTCAAATTAAAGTACAATAGATAGGGAGGTTAAGGTGTATTTTCCTCCACATCGCAGTGTGACTTAAGTGTGTGCATTTTAATTTCTCCAGTGCATGTTCCATCCCCTGCAGGCTCTCTTTCAGGAAAACCCAGTTCAAGAGAACACCAGTCTTGTTGTGGGAAATGCTGGCGTTATTTTTATCCTCCTGACCGTGGAAGGGATTTTTCTGTACCTCCTGAGAGAATGTTGTGAAAGCGAGGCTGCTATTATTGCTGTCTTTATCCTCTTCCAGAAAGAAATCCATTTCACTGAGACCCTGTGGAATGATATTCAAAAGGAATAAATCCGGCTTTCTTTACAATAGGGGCTTGCTGGTGCTGTTTTTACAAATTCCATTACCATCAATGAAAAGAGAGTCCTGCAAGCACAGCCTCATTGAATAAAGGGAGGAGAGTATGGCGCTGTGCAGCCTATCTGCCTTTTATGGCAGCTGAAAATTGCACGGCAGATTTTAGCCTGAAGTCCTCCTGGTTCTGGCAGAGCTGTGTGTGAGAAAGCAGTGGGAGGCTTATAAACAAGAACTCTTCGTTGTACTCTGCTGTTCTTTGAAGCACTTTGGTGGTTATACGGGACACCAAGCCGAAACCGAATTATAAAAGGTGCTCCTCACTAAAACTTCAGTGCATTATAATTGTGAGGCACCTCCCATGCGTGAAGCCCCTAGTTTGCGGTTTTTCCCCCCGTTCTCTAAGCAGCTGAAGGTGATAACACGCCCAGGCATTGGGCTGACTTTCGGAAGGAGTGCATTTGCGGGTTCGAGGCAGCAGAGCCCCGTTTGCGCTGGGGAGGGGAAGTTTGAAGGGCGCCCCCTGCAGGCCCCTGGCCGCACGGTGCCGTCGAGCCCGGGAGGAAGGCCTTGCTGCAGGGCCCAGTGTGGCGCTGCTTTCAGCCCTGTGGTTCCTCAGGCTCGCCGAGATGGGCTTCTTTTTCCCGCCATTGTCGGAATGAGACGTGCCAGGGGTTAGGAGACTGCACCGGGGGAGAGAGGCCCCTACTGAGATGTGTGCAACTTTTCTCCTCGCAGGACGACGGCCCCCGCGGGAACACCTCGGACCCGGAGCCCTCGCCGATTGCGGTGCACCTCGACCGGCTGCTCATTCACAGGAGAGACGATGGCTCCTTCTCTGTCGGAGGTAGGCCAGTCCTGGGAGCGGGACCCACTGGCACCAAGAAGGCAGCAACAATACAAGCACACGATGAATGCCCACATTAAGATAACAAAAATATATATTCTTTTAGTCTGTGGTCAGAAATCACCTTGCCTGTCAAAAATGCGTGTATTTCACGCTATCTTGCACTGTGGCAAATCAGCTTAAGCAAGAGCTCCAGGCCTCCAGTCTTTGTAAACAGCTACACAGTGGGTTTTCATTAGGCTATCGATTAGATTAATGGTGCCGGGTATTTTCTGCACATGCATGTAGTTAAATGTGTTTGGTTTTTAAAGGGAGTGCATGATGCTGTTTGGTGGCTGGGGATATTTGAGTGCTGTCTTTTTCTGGTAAATCCTGGACATTAATTCTCTCGGCCACCATGAGGTCTTGTAAGCGCAGACGGATGGGATTTCCCGGGTTGGGGTAGGGTCATTCACATCCTTTTATCATGCTTTTTTCTGATCATGATCTTGATTGTTAGTCTGATTCTTTCCTCCATCTTTCCGTTCTGTGTAACGGTTTCTGTGATCACCGTAAACTAGAGACGAACCAGACTACAACTCCCAAGACTGCATCCTGGACGAGATGCCAGTCTGTTGCAGGATACACACACACCTGGGGCACTTTAGAAACACAATTTACCTAGACGGCATGTCTTTGAACTGTGGGAGGAAACTGGAGAGCTGCCTGTGACTACATGGGCTGACATGCAAACTCCACACACAAGGCACGGTGGTAGTCTGGCTTAGGGGAGACACCCGTGGTTCCGGTGGGGACCACACCGGTGCTCCCCCACCTTCCCAGGGAGGCAGAGAGCTGCCGGCACCAGGAAAGGTACTTGGCGTTCAGGAGTGTCTCCGGAAGAGCTGGGGTTACTGCTATAAGCAGCAATGTGCTAAAGCAAGGCAGTGGACAGATACTGGGGAGTGAGAGGGCAGTACTGAGAGGGCCATGGAGACGGTACAGGGAAACGCTCAAGCTGCGTACTTCTCCAGGCCGTCCCACAGCCGTGAGGATGTGTGGGGAGCTGCCTTCTTGCTTCCTGCACCGAACCATAGCTCCGGGGCCCAGCCGTGGTGGTGACCAGGCCGCTGAGAGCTGAGTGCTCCACACTGACAGCGCCTTTCCCCTCCGCCAGCCAGCCCACTACAGGAGGTGAACCAGGAGCCTGTCTCCGGGGGTAGCAAGGGTGAATCAGCAGGTGGCGCTAGTGAGAGGGGGAATTCCTGACTGATGGAAGGGCTGCAGCTGTGGGAGAAGAGTCTCCCACAGGGGCCTGAGACTGACGGAAATCCGCACAAAGGGAGTGTTTCCCCTTCCCCTGGACCTGGAGCCGCGGGTGGAGTCCTTCTCTGTGGGCTGGAGAGAGAGGAGCTGGGAGAGGGGAAGGAGGTCAGCCCAGTGACTCAGGGAGAAGCAGAGCATCGAGGGGAAAGCCCAGCAGGTCACATCCAGTGTAGAAGAGTCACCCAAGCCTTAACGATTCGTTCTTCCGAGTCTAGCTGCAGGTCCTCTTCATCACGAACCAGCAGCCTGAGTGGGAGCAGAATCAGGGCGCGAATGGAGATATACCTCCAAGCAGCCTATCAGTGGTGGCCCTGCTGCACAACCCAGGTGATCGTACTCGAACCAGGGACACCGGCGGTGAGACGGCAGTGCTTAACTTCCTTGGGAAGTGAAAGGCAGAGAGGGCCGTATTCACAGCAGGGATCGGCCTTGGAGGAACTGACCTGGGCCTGCCTTGCCCAGCTTCTGGAACTGGTTCTGACCTGTTTCCAAGGACGTGCTGCAGCCTAGCCTGCGAGCGAGGCGTGTTCTACAATCTCGGCCGAGGCGACTGCCACGGTATCTACTCTCTTCTCTGGGCACCGAATCGCACGGTGGAGATGCGATTCAGTTCATAGACATTGCTTCTCGCGCCACAGCCTTTTCATTTTTGGAAACTGGTGCTCACTAAAGCACAGGAAAGATGTCTTTGTCTTTAGCTGGTGGCGATGAGGACGGCTTGCAGCCCTTCACCAAACTGCCAGCGTTCATTTGCTGCGCTCTTGACAGTTGTCATACTGTCATACGAGGTAGCTGAGATATGAGGTAGCTATAGGCTGAAAACAGAACTGCAGGGAAAGAAGCTGTTGAAATGTGAGCCTCTTCCGTTGTGATTGAATGCTCGGTCGTGTAATGCGCAATGGTAATGTGCGCGTGGTGGTTAGGAGATGAAATTGTGAGGTCGCGCAGGCTGGATGTAGTGGTGGCCTCCGAGCGCTCGCCTGGTCCGCGGTGCCGGCGTGTACGAGGGGCTCCTCGAGTCCCGGCCGACGGCCTCGCGCCCCTCCCATCGGAGTCGCTCCCGGTTCCCAGGCCTCCGCCCTCCCGCCGAGCGGCTTCTGGGAAGCAGACGGGTGTCTTTCAGCTGGAATCTGGAGGGACTCGTGAGCCAAGACCCGTGGCTTGGCGGTGGGGACCTGTCCCGTTCTCACGCGGCGCGTTTCTCGGCCCTGCAGCAGCGGACGAGCCCCCCGGGCCAGGAGAGCCGGAAGCGAGGAGCGGAGGACGGAAGTTGGGGGATGTTCCCAAGGTCCCCTGGGTCCCCTGCAGGTCCCAGGCCACTCAGACGACCCCGGACAAGCCCGACCCTACGGCCGCTCCACACGACCGGACGCCGGGCAGCGCCGCCGACGGCACGGCTCTCGGCACAGAGCAGGTGAGCAGAGCGCCGCCCTGCAGGAGGCTCGCAATAGCCCTGGACTGATCTGCTCCGAGCGCCCCATGAGTCAGCGTTTACTACTGCGCTACCTTAACGTGCCACACAGGTATTTCCGCCCGCTCAATGGCGATTACGAAAAGCAGCTGTTCGGTTTCATCCGGTCACTTTACGGGTGGTGTTGATTCCTCTATCAGGAGAGAGCGTGGTCATCTTTAACGCAGCGTCAGTCTTGTGTGAGCGTGGGCCTTACTGTCTTAGAAGTGTTGGAATAAACGGGGTCTGTGTGAAAATAAAATGTGAAAGAAAATACAACTGTAGTCGCAAGCTGTTGGTTGCCTGTTTTTAAACCAGTTTCCGCTTCCTTGTGTGGGATTTGGAATCATTTTATATTTGCTTGTCGAGTATTTCCCTTGACTTCCCCTGGTCAGTCCACTGGGCACGCTGGCTGCTGCTGGCACTAATACCGTACGAACAGAATTACTTTCAAAGCACGCTTTATGACTCAAACGAACAAAAACTGAGAATTTTAGAGTACAAACTTGTGGGGGGCAAATAAAAAGCAGATTAGGTGAAAAGTTGATTTGGTGCAGTGACACGGTGACTGCTCTAATATATAGTTGGCTGAATCGGTTAAGCGCATACTCCTTTCCACATACTCGGTGTGTTATGTGAAACCTCTGCTTTTAGAAGAAAGAAGTGTCAACATTTTAAGATCTTTGAAAGAGATTTGGGGTTCTGTCATGTGCTGAAACACCTGATGGCTAATTGAAAATGTGTAAGACGAAGCGTCCCAGGAAACTCTGCTCATTCTCCAGCCTCCCTCCCTGTTCGGTTTATCTCGGTTGTATTTTTTTTAACTTGTTCTTCTGCCCACACTTCTGCCTCTGAATTACTCCTGCCAGAACTCTGCCTGCCTGGAGGAGACCCAGTGTGTGATGTAAAGTTGATAATGGGCAACAGCAAACACTTTTTACCTAACACGAATCCATTAAATAAAATCTATTTTTTCAATGAAAACATGCATTCATTATTCATACGAGTGCCCTACTTCTGTTGCCAGGAAACGTTGATGCAGAAGAAAACAGAGAAGCAAGAGACGTACCTAAATACACGTTTGCATTAAAGAGGCTTAATTAAAATGGTGAAAACCAACCCATTAGAAGAAGTAACGAATCACAGGTGTTCAGTAATTAGAAATGCAGAGGCTAAAGCTTTGCTCTCCACGCTGGGGTGATTAAAGAAAGATTTTGGTCTCAGTCACCTGTCACTACAGCTCATTCCTTACTGATTCTAAAGTGACTTCAGACGCCAGGCCTGTGTCTGTCTGGAGCTGGGTTGCAACATACGTGTTCAGTTGTGCTTTTTAAACAGTCACAGTTTAATTTGTGGAAGACGGCATGTCTGTGCATCTCCCTTGGTTTTGTGTGACCTGGAGCTTTCTGGTTTACCATGCTTTTCTTGAGGTCCACTGTGCAAAAAGTGGTGGCAGTTGAATTGTACAGGTCTCACTGTAGCCTGCAAACACAGCCATCGCTTTCACTGGTCTTGTCTGTGAGGGTCTGTACCCAGAGAGTGGTGGGAGTGGGGAACGAGTCCATGCACAAACATGAGCCTGAAGCCAGTACTCTGGCTTTTTTCAAGAAACAGCTGGATGACAGTTAGCTAATTAGCTAATTCGGATTAGTTACTTGCTGCCAAATGGACTGGATCAGCTGAATAAGCTCCACTCATTTGTAACCTGTCTTATGTTTGTACAGTATGTTCCCCGTGCGTCATGGGGTCGTCTTGTGTTTTTGTGTTTCTTCTGTTCTGCCGTGTTCTTATTTGAACGTCCGCTGCTGTTTCAGCTCATGGAAGAGAACGAGTGTCTGAAGCTGGAGCTTTCCAAAGCCAAAATGGCTCTCGCCGAAGCTCAGATGGAGAAGGACAGCTTGCTCCATAAAATCAAACGCATGGGCACCGGCAGCTAATCCCGGCTGGACGTGGCTCCCGGGAGCACCGAGGAGAGGAGACGCCGCCGCCGTCTTCCTGGAGAAGCCACAGGGGAGCCGGCAGCCCGCCTGGCAGCAGGAGGCAAGCGCAGCGCCGGGCGACGCTTGTGCAGAGAGCGCGCGCGGTTCATTCCGAAGAAACCTGTTCTCTGTATGTTGTTGTTACTTTGGTTGTTTTTGAATAAAGTTTTGCAGTAAAACTGCTACCTGGACAGCTGGGCATGGAAAAGGCTGCTTCGGGCTTGGGGATTGCCAGCGTCAGGCCAGAGACTGCACTGTACTGTACTACATCTCCTCATGTATTTAATACTGAAAAAGTATTTAGTTCATGAATGGTCTTTTAACCAATGTATTAAAGTGGAACTTTTGTGCAAGAGTGTTTTATAAAGAGATTTTTGATTGTCAGGCAGTGTTTGTCAGGGTTTTGCTGCTTTGAAGACAAAATTGATCATGTCGTTATAACAGGCATTTCATGACATTATTACACTATACTGCATTAAGATTAACAATAGTCTAAGACCTGGACTGTCTCCTATTTTTCTAAGTGTATATAGTCGTTCATAGATTTACCCACATAGTAATTTTTTTAATTATGCAATTGTAAATAACACTCCTGCGATGAAGGAGAATTCTGTAGATGACAGATTAGGCTTGAGTTGCCTCGTGTCTTATTTCAGTTTTTGTATGTATATATTTCTGTATTTTTTTCTGAGGGAGGAGATTCATGTGCACTTTTTCTTTCTCAATCTTTGCCCCTGTTTGTGCAGACTGACCGCTTGTTTCAGACCAGCTTTGCCTACTGCAAAGGACAACAAAATGTTGGAAGCTGCTGGAATACGTTTGGGTCTTTTAGGAAATATTTGTTTTCACTTGCACAATGATAAAAAGTTCCATGTTTACAAAGACTCCCATAACTTGTATGTAGAAATAATTTTAATAGTGCCTGATCTCTTCTGTTTCTTACTACAGCTGCTCGAAACACTTGTTGAAGGTTATCACAGGCATTGCCTCGGAAAACACAACTGTGAAATTTACTGGTGCTTGTGTGTATGCGTGTGTGACAAAGTGCCCACACTGGGACGATGGTACGGATCATCCCAGGTGTCCCCAGATTTACTGTGATGCTTCCGGACAGCGGCTTGGAATAAAGAGCCACACCACATTCGGAGCTGTCCGTGTTTCTGAGCAGACTTCACTCGGGTGCGTCTGATGAGTGTAGCTGTGGTTCATCATTTTCATTTCAAATGCATGCGTCTCTGATTGGAGTTCCGTTTTGGGGACAGGGCAGTGAGAGGCCAGGCTCGAGCCTGATAGTTTTTTAGCTGTTTGTTCAAAACTGATCTGTCTGGCGGCAACTGTAGTGTTTAAAAGATGAAAGATGAAATCCCGTTGCTGAAGCCTAAACACACCTGGTAAATGTGAAGGCAAAAGCTATTTCCATCTCGACCAGAATGTTATCACGTAAAACTTCCTGAGTGCCTCACTTATATGGGGGGAATTTTAATGGGGTCTTTCCCTGCTTTTCACGTAAACCCAAATTTCAATGAATGTCTGCTCAAAAAATAACACTTCTGAGCTTTATTTTGTATTTTTCTCTTCAATGGACATTATTAAAACATCACATTTTGTGAGACCACGAAACTTGAGAAATGCGATTGTACAACAGCGAGAGAGGCCTTTCATCTGTGCTCTGTGTCCTGAGTCCTGTCCCTTTCTGTTTGGCTGGCCTCCTGGCGAGATTTAGAACAACAATAATATGTAAAGGTCTGTTAAAGCTGCTTCAATGCTGTAAAATAAAGGGGGTTAAAATTGTGTGTAGGGTGCATTGTTTTTCTTACATTTTTTTTAAATTCAGTTTACTTCTCTTCAGGTAATACCCTGCAGAAAGTGTTTTTAAGTTTTGCTGTAAGAAAAAATTCAACTGCTGTCCACAGCTACAGCCAAAATACGGCTTCCGAGCTTCCCCACGAGTCCTGTAGAGGAGCGCTCATTGAGCACTGCAGAAGGAATGTGCGCTGTTTCTCCGGCCCACGTGTACGAGGTGTTTCTGCCCCCTCCGTCTCACCGGGGCGTGCAGCGATCCTTCCCGTGCATCCGCCAGCGCGGAGCACAGCAGCGAGGCAGCCATCTTTGACACCGGCACAGTGACATCTATGGGCGCAGATGAGTAACGCGCTTCTGAGTGAGGTCTCTTTGTTACTGGCATTGCGTAACCAGAGGAGGCCCTCGGAGTGGCCAGCGCAGCGTGATCGCCCCTGTAGCTCACTGCTCCCCTGCTCCCTGACTGATGGTCCATATGTGAACCATCCTGCCCTCCAGGCGGTCCAGAGGAGTATTAAGCTGTGTCTGGTTGCACTCAGTGCTGTTCCCCAGTGTCCCACTGGGAATCAGGAGTCTCGCCTGCGTCCTGTTGTTTTCGCCTGCCACACCTCTGTATTGAAAGCCGTCGATTTATTCAGACAGCCTCTTTGATCTCCCCTGTTTGTCGTTCCTTCGGGACAACGGGTCACCTCAGAGGTGGGGCAGCAGGTGGCAGATGGAAGGCCCTCGTTCCCCAGCCCAGCGCATGGCTCTCCAGCCCTCCCTCTACTACAGCTCGTGCTCACTGATAATAATGATAATGTTTCTTTATTAGCCCTATACAATTTCTTGCATGAGGAATTCGTCTTTTCACAGACCCCAGCTTTTCTCCATGGAGACACAGACAGGGAGAGAAGCTTGGGGTCAGAGCGCAGGGTCAGCCATTTATACGGCGCCCCTGGAGCAGTTGGGGTGAAGGGCCTTGCTCAGGGGCCCAGTGGAGTAGGATTCCTCTGCCGGCTGTGGGATTTGAACCGGCAACCTTCCAGCCACAGGCGCAGATCCTGAGCCGCAGAGCCACCGCTCCTCAATCCTGTGCCCTGCCACACACCTGCCTGCCCCCGGGCTCTCCACCACTCCCCCTCCGCAGCGGTTTTCAGCTTTCCTGTAAAAAGTCAGCAGCCCTTCGCTCTCAGACGCCAGGCGCTGCACGGACACGAGACCTGCCGCCCTCTTCCAAACGGATCTGTATTCCGCGGCCGTCTCGAGCTGCCAGTGGGCCTTGAGGAGAATTGGCAGTGGCTCTTTGCCACCCCGAAGTGCAGGTGCTCCGTCCCCAGAGCCCTGCGGCTGCGAACAGAGGGCCCCTTCAGGAGGAGAGGAGGAGCCGAGGCCGGAAGGGAGCTGGGGGACACAGGGAGGGGGCGTGCGGAGGACAGGGGAGCCCGCCAGCCGGACACCGGACACCTGTCCGAGGTGAGGGAGGCGGGAGCGCTCGCCTGCGACACAGGGCCAGAGACGCCGCTCTTGAACCGCCCTGAATCTCCGGAGTCTCAGCTCACATTCTGTCCCCGGAAAGGGGCCCCGCCGCGGGGGAGGACAGAACTCGTGGGCAGCCAGGGCGCCACCTGTTGCTCCTGGGGGCTCTCCCGAGAACCCGTCCCCGCAGCTCGGGGGCGAGGGGGCGGCAGGAGACCCGTCCTCCCAGCGGCCCCGCTGGCGCGGCCCGGCCCGGCCCGGCCCGGCCCGAGGAGGAGCACCATGGGATGTGTGCCTGCCTGGCAATGCCAGGGTCCCTGCTGCCCATTCCGCCGTCACGTGGGGGCTGGAAGTCATCGCGGGGCGCGTCAGTTCTCCTGGGAAGACACGTTCGTGGGGTGTCGCTTAATAAAAAAACGACAATCACTGCTTTTTAAGCAGGGAGTCCCTTTCCTGTCATAGACTGAAGTCCCCCTCTCATTGTGCGCAGGGCTTTGTGCACGGAGCGGTCCCGTCACCGTGTGCTGTCTTTGCCCTCTGTGATAAACGCTCCAAATACTGACATTTCGTCTTCGTGTTCCGTGGGTGATAATTACTGCCCCGTTCGGCGATGGTCTTCCACCCTCCGCAGCCCTATAAGCCCCTCTAAAACTAACAAAGAAAAATGACACGCGTGGGGGAAACCGTCGCTATTTGTTTCAGCCTCATCAGCAACAATAGAAAGGGGGCTTTTCGCCTTGTTTTGCGATGATACACGCCCAAAGCTGCCGAGCGCTATCCCCCGGCCGAGAGAGGGGAGGGGGGCGGCAGCGAGTAGCGGGGAAAGGAGGAGGAGGAGGAGGAGGGAGGAGGAGAGAGAGAGAGAGACGGGAGCGGAGGGATGGGAGGCTCGCTGGCGAAGCGGCACACCGAAGCGAGCTGAAACAGCGTGAATGTGGATGTGTGCGGGAGAGAGGGGGGTGCGTGCGTGTGTGTGGACGCGCCAGCCAGGAGCAAAGCAGGAGAGAGGAGCTTGTGACAGTCCGACTGGGCAGTGTTTCCAGGCAACCGGAGCGGCGGACGGCTTGCTATCCCCCACCTCCCCCCTGCTCGCCCCGGTCCGGCGATCCGGTGCACCGGGCTGGCTCTGCGCTAGCTCCGGCGTGCGGTGGTGTCCGAGCGGCGCTCGCTCCACCATGCAGTAGGAGTCTGCGCAGGGCTCCCCGCCCGGGGCTGGAATTGGATATACACGCTCGGCACTGAAGAGAGGTCTCTTTTTATTTTTATTCTTTTTTTTTTTTTTTGGCCGTCCTCCCCGCGCTCACTCACCTCGCCGGCATGGGGAAAGAGCAGGAGCTGCTGGAGGCAGCTCGCACGGGGAATGTGGCTCTGGTTGAGAAATTACTGAGTGGCAAAAAGGGATTACTGGGCACCGCGTCCGGATCCATACCGCTCCCGAGTTTGCTGAGGTATGTAAACACGGGCGAAGTATTTCTGCTCTTCTTGCTTCGTGCCGCGGTCCGGCTAGGCGGGGGGGTATGGGGTGGCTGATCGGAGAGGAGCCAAGAGCTTGCGTGTATTTTAATACCTCTCCGTAAGGAATTTAAGCTGAGTGGAACAAAAAAAAAAAAAAGGAACTGACAAAGCGTGGTACAAAGCCAGGCGCGACTTGGGCTTTAAAGTTGTCCGGCGATAAAACAGGTCGATTTGACAAATTGCGTTAACAAACTGCAAGTCTAATGTGTGTCTTGTACTGATGGTTAGAGATTAATGAGGCAGCCGAGCGACTTTCTAGCACAGAACTTATGAATAATAAGCCTTTCGCTAATTGGCCAAACAATTAATTACAGCGTAGTACAGTACATGACTTGCCGTGTCCCTCTCCTCTCCTCGCCGGGAGTCGGTTTGAAGTTTTCAGTGGCTTCCCAGAGGAGACGCAATAACAGTTAAAGGCGAATTAAAAGGGCACGTTTTATTAACGATCTGAAATTCAGGCAGGTTCCGGGTGTCTAAAAAACACTCTTGTAGAGCAGAGCCTTTCTGGTGTAAGTGCACAGGGTGATGCACATCAAGTCTGGAAAGTTTTGACGCGGTGCAGTGGTTAGGTTGTGTACAGTATATTTCCCCTTTTTTCAGTAAAAAAAAAAATCCTTCAAGGACAGTATTGGAGCGGCTACAGCAGGCTCACCGGGTCTTTGACAAGCTGTGTGGCTTTGGTGGGGTGCGTGGGCCAGGCGTGACGACGGTCTCGCAGCAGAGCATCCCGAACTCTTCCACCCGGCTGTGACAGCTCTGGCGGCAGCCCGGGCGTGTGTGCTGGTGTTTAAGGCCGGGGGAGGGGCAGGCACTGGGGCCCTCGGTCTGTGCGAGGCCGGTGGGAGGGGGGAGAGGCACCCGAACGGAGGCTGGCTCGGGCAGTCGGGTTACAGCCCCTCCCGGGCTGGCATACCGCTCCCCCCCCGGAACGTGACTGTGGCAACGGCGTAGGGCAGGGCTGTGCAGTCCTGGTCCTGCGTGGCCAGCGTGTCCCCAGGCACCTGCTGGGTTAGCTGCTGGACGGGTGCTCTTTGGGTGCTGGTCCACTGACGAGGACTTGAAAACCTCCAGTGGCCTTCCAGAGCCAGGACTGGACCAGCCCGACTGAGGCACCTCGCTTCCCACGGGCTGCATACCTGCACGCCCTCGGGAAAGCAGGGGCAACCCTTCCTGTCAGCGGACAGACTCAGCTGGGATCCTGCCATCCCTAGAAGCACGTGTCTGTGCATAAGTATCGACCCCAGTTTGTGGTTTCTTAATGTCCGCTGTCAAGTTGCACAGTGTGCTGTTCTTCTGTGTGTCTTGGGTTGAAGCGTCACTGGGGTGTCACGCCCTCTGCAGCCAGAGGGCGCTCCTTCTCTGTCCTGTCCCTAGTTTCCGGTCTGCTGTCCTTCCGGTCCCTCTCTTTCCCTTGGGCTTTATATTTCCGGGTCTTGCACTCTGCCCTCGCTCAGCATTGACGTTCGGATGTCCTGAGACCCGCCTAGCACCAGGGCGCCCCACGTCCGCTCCCTGAGGGCATAGGTTTCTAAACGGCATTCCTGAACTCTTTGCACTAATGAGCCCGGGCCTTTTTCCCGTCTCGCCGCTACGCATATGGGTCTTTTTCCGCTCTCCTGCTCCCCACGGTTAGTCCCTTTGGACGTCCGTGACATGGGGCTGTGTGGCTTTCTGGGATTAGTGCTCTCTGTGCCGGTGGAAGATGGCGCTGTGGCGCCTGTGTGAAAGGTGCATCGCTCCTTCTTCCCCAGCAGGGGTCGCTAACTCCCCCCGGACTCCGTAACGCCGCTGTCGTTGGGTGGGCCGCCTCCTACCCCGGGGGACGGTGTCAGCAGGAGCTGTGTTGGAGTCCGACCCGAGTCCCCGCCGAAGTGTCGCTCAGCGAAATGTGAACGTGGCTCAGCTGTGTCTTTACTTATCGTGCGCTCTATCGCCGGCCTTGGGACACGCGTCCGTTGCCCAGCGAAGGAAAGAGGCAGGCTGTGTGCCCACAGGGGAACTGGGAGCACAGTGTTACTCCTGGGTCGCAGGCCTGAGCCGAGAGCGCGACCCATGGGAGAATGAGGCATCGGGTCGTTTCAGGTCAGTTCGAGCAGGCGCTATGGCCACACGCCTCCGATCTGGGTGAAAATGGACACAACGTGACACAGTCGATTTAATGGAGAGTCCTGGAATTTGAGTGGTCGGTTCCCAGCAGTTCCTGAGATGAGACTCAGGAGAAGGGATGCAGTTCTTTTTTTCACATCTGTGACCGCACGTTGCGTGAAAGAGCTCACGCCTTTTGAAGTACGTTATAGCTGCTCACATTCCCCCTCAGGTTCTCAAATTCTCATATTTAATAGAGGCTAGGTGCATAAGAGAATTTAACAGTGTCAGGTGGCTAAAAATGTGGCATCCACAAAATGATTTCTTTTCCAGAATGAGATCAATGTTCTGACTTTCCCTGTGAATCCTAGTACCTGTGGCCCATTTCTGTGTCACTCATCTGACACTGCTAACCAATAAATCCCTCAATAACCCATTGAGCCTCTATTGAACTGTGACTAGTGTGTTGTGCAATTATTTCAACGTGATCTTTCGAGCCTGTGACTGAAAATCTATTCGGCTATGAATTTTAGTGGCACTAATGTTCTTGTTTCATCATTTATTCGCTTTTAAAAATACTTTGTGCATTTATTCAGCACAAAGCAAAGTGTTCTTTGAAGGATAGACAGCCGCATCACAGCAACTACTAGGAGTAGATTGCACAGATTTTAGATTGTATTTACACAAAATCTTGTTTACTTGTTTACATAATGTTTTCTCCAAATGATCTTGGTAGATTTGACTTTGAACGGCCCTGATTTAAAATATCCTTTGCCTAGTTTTGGGTTGTGGGTGTGTCGGACATGCTACATAGCTATACTGTCTATTCTCACAACAATTAACTGCTAATTAACAACCCACTTTGTATGGTGTTGGGTTGGAATGCTGGCTCACTGACTTGGGGAATGGTTTGGGGCATTTCCCAGGAAGCAGTTTATTTCTTTTCTTTCAGTAGTGAAGTATCTGGACATCTGCTACCACCTCCCTGCTCGCATGCTGTACAGACTGCTCTCAAATATGCTGATGAGCTGCTTTCCAGGGCTGGAGCTGTGCTGAGGCTGGAGCGAGACTGTGCTCCCTGGAGTTCATCACCTCGTCTGTCTGTCTGCTTTATGATTTACAGATGACGGTGAAAAGTTCAGAACTGCTCGAGTGGAATTTCAAGCTAAATTCGCTTTTGTGTGCGTCATTTGCTTTAAGATAAACAAAAGAGCTGCTCGCTGGTTACCACTACCATGTGGAGGTGACACACATTGCTCACTGCAGCTGAAAATCAATGCCACTCTGACGGTTTGATTGGATTATCTGTCAGGTTCAATCTCAAAATGCACTGTACATCATAACCTAAACATATTATGTACCTTAAGGCAAATTAGCTTAATAAGTAGCACACAAATTTATTTGGTTGTGTATTGATACAACATGACGTACGTTTACTATGATATACAGTAGCTCCGTTCAGTCCCAGACATCCTGATGTACTTTCCAAGAAATAAAAACAAGGCAGATGAAGAGTCATTCTTGAGCCTCGGGGGCTGTGCATTGAGAGGAGTTTTCACAAAGGCAACCTTGGCAGCTGAAAGCTTTGTGTCCAGTCGAGTTTAAATGGTACTGGTATGACCGGCCACTGAATGATCTGGTACATGTGCAGTAAGTAGCTCACGAAGGTAGGTGTGTGCTGAGCCACGAAGGGCTTTGTGTGTTTCTGCAATGAAGTCTGCTTGAATATTAATGGGTCACCAATGCAACGACTTCAGTGTGATCAGGAAAACAGGTGCAGGTCTTCTGTATGACAGCAGCATTCTGTACAACAAGGAGAGCCTTTTGAGTTAGCAAATGGTCATTACAATAATCAGGACAAGGGGTTCTGGATGCTCGAACCCATAACTGTGCATCCTACGTATCCAGGGAAACTTGACTTCAGTGTTTTTCAGATAGTGAAAAGCAGCTGTAGTCACAGTCTTGAAATGCTGGTCAAGTGAAAGCCCAGAGTCCACAGTAACACCCTAATAATTGAGGACAGACAGAACTGCGGTGAAAATGTATCCTAGGAGGCTTAACTGCCTTTATGATTTGTCTGGGTTTAATTTCTACCGGTTTAGAGGTGGAAAGTGACGGACTTTCGGTCGAGCAGTTTGTGTGGACAGGCACTACAATGTCAGCGTGGGCTGGACATGACACACAGGTCTGCGTTATCATCGGCCTAGAAGCGAAAGCCTAGATTACAGTTCCTGGTATTAGTGTGTAGACACTGACCAGCAAGTGAACGGTGACAGAGCCCTGAGGGTCACTGTACTGACCAGCAAGGGAACTGACAGAGCCCTGAGGGTCACTGTACTGACCAGCAAGGGAACTGACAGAGCCCTGAGGGTCACTGTACTGACCAGCAAGGGAACTGACAGAGCCCTGAGGGTCACTGTACTGACCAGCAAGGGAACTGACAGAGCCCTGAGGGTCACTGTACTGACCAGCAAGGGAACAGTGACAGAGCCCTGTGGGTCACTGTACTGACCAGCTCATGCGACGCACTGACACCAGCGGGGGATAAGAGGACACAAACATGTCTAAAACTCTCTCAGACAGGCCAGAGTGAGAATGCAGCCATTGTGTAACAGTGCTGAATATAAATTAATTACTGGTGTAAAATCTGCTCGGTTACCAAGTGCAGAGTGTGGGATCCTGACTTGTGTTGTGCGTTTCTGATCTTAAAAGTATGCAAGACATGATTCATAGAAACTGTTGACATGAAAGTCATCCACTGGAGCTCATCTGCTTAAAATAAGAATGTAACATTTCCCTAAGAGACCATTCAGCTGTACTCCTTTTCCTTTCTAGTCTACTGTTTATT